AGGCTCTGAGCTGGCAGTCAGCACAGAGCCCGATGCGGGGCTCGAACCCACGAACCGCAAGATCATGACCTAAGCGAAAGTCAGACGCTTAACCGACCAAGCCACCCAGGCGCCCCTCATTTTAATTTTTAATAATAAATGTAATCCTTGTAGCAGTTGATGCCTTTGTATAGATTTATCTATACGATGGAATACTACATGGCAACGAGAAAGAATGAAATCTAGCCATGTGTAGCAACATGGATGGACCTTGAGGGTGTTATGCTGAGCGAAATAAGTCAGGCAGAGAAGGACAGCTACCATATGTTTGCACGTATAGGAGGATTAGGAGGAACTTAACGGAGGACTGTGGGGGAGAAGAAGGGAGGAAATAGGGGGAGAGGGAGGGAGGCAAACCATGAGAGAGACTCTTGAATATTGAGAACAAACTGAGGACCGATGGGTGTGGGGGGGGATTGGAAGGGGAGTGATAGGCATGGAGGAGGGCACTTGCGGGGGTGAGCATTGGGTGTTATATGGAAACCAACTTGACAATAAACTATTTAAAAAATTTTTTTAAAAATAAAATGGAAAAAAAAAGAAGTTGATGCCTTTACGATTTTGAGATTAAGAAGCCTAGCACGATCAAAACCCAAGAAGATATTCTCTAATTTCATCATGAAACTTCACACCTGACCTTAAGTAAACACTTCAGAAATAAAGAGGATATATACACCGTGACCAAGTGGGAATTATACACGAATGCAAGGTTGGTGCCCATATGGAAATCAATCAATGTAATACACAAAGGAGAAAAAACACATAATCATCTCAATAGATGCACAAAAGGCATTTGACAAAAGTCAACAGCCTTTCCTGATAAAAACATTCAACAAACTAGGAATAGAACTCCAGCGGGGCACATGGGTGGTTCAGTCAGTTAAGCCTCAGCTCAGGTCATTACCTCATGGTTTGTGAGTTCGAGCCTGGTCTTGGCCTCGGCCTCAGGCTCTCTGCTGTCAGCACAAAGCCTCTATCTCCCTCTCGCTGGGCCTGCATGCTCTCTCTCTCAAAATAAACATTAGAAGAAAAAAAAAAGAACTCCATCAACCTTATAATAAAAAGCATCTATGAAAACCCAACCTATCATACTTAATGGTGAAAGACTGAAAGCTTTCCTCTTAAGATCAGGAATGAAACAAGGATAATTTCTCTCACCATTTCTATTCAACATTGTACAGGAGGTTTTAGCCAGGGCATTTAAGCAAGAAAATGAAATAAGATGTATCCACATTGGAAAGGAAAAGTAAAACTATCTTTAGGTGCAGATGGCATGATCTCACATTAGGAAATCCTAAGGAATCTTAAAAAAAAATGATTACAGCTAATAAACAAGTTCAGCAAAGTAGCAGGATACAGGAGCAATATACAAAAATAACTCGACCAGTTGTATTTCTATACATTAGCAGTGAATAATCTAAAAATGGAATGAAGAAAACAATTCCATTTACAATAGCACCAAAGAGAATAAAATACTTACGAATAAATTTACCAAAAGAAATGTAAGACTTGTGCACAGAAAACTACAGAACATTTATGAAAGAAATGAAAGAAGACCCCAAGTTAAACGGAAGATATCTGGTGTTCGTGGATTAGAGGAACTGATGTTAGTTAAGATAGCAATATTCTCAGAATTGATCTACAGATTCAATACAATCTTGATCAAGCATTAGCTATGGAAATGCAAAGGACCCAGAAAGGCCACGACAATTATTGAAAAAGAACAAAGCTGGAGAACTCACCTTTATTTCAAAGTTTACTACATAGCTACAGTAATCAAAATAGTGTGGCACTGGCATATAGACATATAGATCAGTGGAGAAGAACTGAGAATACAGGAGGTGCCTGGGTGGCTCAGTCAGTTAAGCATCTGCCTCTTGGTTTTGGCTCAGGTCGTGATCTCACAGTTCATGAGATCAAGTCCCACATCGGGTTCCACGCTGACAGCTGGAGCCTGCTTGGGATTCTCTCTCCCTCTCTCCACCTCTTTCCTACTCATGCTCTATCTCTCTCTTGAAATAAATAAATAAACTTTTTTTTAATTGAGAGTACAGAAATAAACCCTTACATCTATGGTCAACTGATTTTATAAGGGTGCTGGTATAATTCAATAGGGGAAAGAATAGTTTTTTACTAAGTCAAAGTGGGACAACTGGATAGCTACATGCAAAGGAATGAGACGGGACCTCTACCTCATGCCATGCACAAAAATTTAGCTCCAAGAGCTAAATGGAAGACCTAAAACATTGAAACTCTTATAAAAAAAAAAATAGGTGTGAGTCTTCATGACCTTAGATTAAGCAATGACTTCTTACAGATGACACTTAAGGCATAAGCACCAAAAGGAAAACAGATAAATTGGACTTCATCAAAATTTAATCAAGAAAGTAAAAAGGCGACCTATAGAATGGGAGAAGATATTTGCCAATCACCTATCTGATAGGGGTCTTGTATCCAGCATATAAAAAACTCAACATGTAAAAAAAAAAAAAAAAACAATTAAAAATGGACAAAGGATTTGTAGAGCCATTTCTCCAAAGAAGATATATAAATGGGCAACAAGGGCATAAAATGATGTTCAACATCATTAGTCTTTAGGGAAATGGAAATTAAAACCACAGTGAGATACTACTTTTCTCGTCCAGGAGGATGGCTGTGATCAAAAAGATGGACAATAACAAGTGTTGCCGAGGATATGGAAAAACAGGAACCCTCTTACATTGCTGGTAAGAATGTAAAGTGGGGCAGCTGCTAAGGAAAACAGGTTACTGGTCCTCAAAAAGCTGAACACTGAGTTGCCGTAGGATCTGGCAATTCCACTCCTATGTATAGACCCAACCAAATGGAAAGCAGGGATTCAGACCGATCCTTGTACGCTTTTGTTCATTGCAGCACTATTCACAGTAGCCAAAATGTGAAAACAACCCAAGAATCCACCATCAGATGAATAAACAAAATGTGGTATGTTTATACAATGGGATGTTATTCAGCTCTAAAAGGAACGAAGTTTTGATCCATTCCACCGTATGTGTGAGCTGGAGGACATCATGGTATGTGAAATAAGCCAAACACAAAACGGCAAAGACGATATAATTCCACTTACATGAGGTACCCAGAAGAGGCACATTTACAGAGACAGAAAGTAGTAGAGGCTAGCAGGAGAGTTATTGCTCAATGACTATGGAGTTTCTTTCTTTTTTCTTTTTTTTTATTTACTTATTTATATCAAGAAAGTGAGTACAGGAGAGACAGAGAGAGAGGGAGAAAAGAGAGAGAATTCCAAGCAGGCTCCACACCATCAGCACGGAGACCAACACAGGGCTTGAATTCACGAACCGTGAGATCATGACCTGAGCCAAAACCAAGAGTTGGGTGCTCAACCGACGGAGCCACCCAAGCGCCCCACAGTTATGGAGTTTCTGGGGTGATGAAAAGTTTCGGAAGTAGATAGTGGCCATGGTTGTGCAAACACTGTGAGTGTAATCAATGCCACCTAATTGCACGCTTGAAATGACAAATTTTGCTATTTACATTTTATCTCAATTTTTAAAAATTAACAACGTACCTAAAACCACAGGATTGTATACTTTAAATGGGTGAATTGTTTGGTAGGTGAATTATATCACAATAAAGCTGATTTTTAAAATGTGAAGAAAAAAAACGAAATGAGCTCTCAGGCTGTAAAAAGGACAAGGGAGAATCTTAAATGCATACTGTCAAGTAAAGAAACGAGTCTGAAAAAAGCTACCTATTGTTATGATTCCAACTACGTAACATTCTAGAAATGGCAAAACTATAAAGACAATCAAAAGATCGGGGTTCCAGGCAGGGGAGAAATCATGAGCAGGTGGAGCACAGGGTATTTTCAAGGCAGTGAAACTGTTGTATATGATCCTGGAATGGTAGATAGGTGACATGCATTTTCAAAACCCACAGAACGGAAGAACACCAAGAGTGAACCCTAAAGTAAACAAAGGACTTTAGTTAATGTATTAATACCAGTTAGTCAATTGCAACAAACGTACCAGACTAACACAAGATATTAACAGGAGAGACAGAGTGTGCGGATGGGGAAGGGTATATGGGAACTCTGTCCTTTCTGTGTAATTCTTCTGTAAATCTAAAGCTGCTCTTTAAAAAGTCTATTCTAAAAATGTACCCTTTACAAAAGACTGTACTGAATTGTATCCTCTCCTCATGGTTCATAAGACTATTCGCTTTAAACGCAAATTACAATTTTACAGTAGACGGGAAGGAAATGCTCGTTCTTTTAGCATTGCAGAATACCAGATGCTACCAAGTCATCTCCGTTTGGTATTCCCCACACCCGTTCCCTACTTCACCTCCTCCTCCACCCCCGACAAAATTATTTTATGGCCTAAATTTTTGTGCTCATCTACTTCCATCTAGATAGCCTTTGAAGATTCTGGAGTCTTTGGAAACACTTCCTTACACTTATGACTAAATTCCAGTCTAATTATAATTATGAATTACAGTCACATAATCACACCGAGCTACCATGCCTCCCGTTTTATGCACTTTGTTGATCTTCTATGAGTTATCGTTTTATCGGCAACCTTGAGTGTGTTAGTTCTACATATTTCTTTGAAAGAAAATTGTTCTCTAGGGCACTAGAGAGTCAACACAAAGTCTTCTGGAAACTGTAACTGTCCCAGAGAAAGGGAGCTAACACATTTAAGAATAACTTTGCCCCAGCTCCTGGTTTAAAACGATCCCTTCCGTGGATATGGATGTGGACGGGGAGGGGGCGGGAGGCGAGGAAAATGGGTGATGGGCATTGGGGAGGGCACTTGCTAGGATGAGCACTGGGTGTTGTACGTAACCCAATTTGACAACAAATTAGATTTAAATAAAAAAATAAATAAATATAAAATAAAATAAAATAATCCCTTCCCAAACTTCTAATCTTTACTGGCACACTGTATCCATTTTTTTTTTACCTTGGTCTTTTCCAGCTTCATCTATGTGTTGAAAATCTTTTAGTGTCTGAAGTTTACAGAAGCCCTCTCTGCAGTGCTGGATGACTTTCTTCGATCCATTCTTGATGAGATAATCCATGAGCGTAAGGGACTTATACACGTGGCGCCAGTTCTTCCCGTGATCGCTGAGTCTCTGCCATAGCATGTTCATAATCTCCGACAGAGAAATTGTGTTGAAAGTCAGGTCACTGATATCTAACATCAAAGAACTAGAGGGACCCCAAGGGTCATTAGAAGTTGCTTCCCTGACTTTTATTTCGGCATCTGAGTAATTCTTCATGAAGTTTTTCACTTGCCTCCTGAATGCCATCGGTAAGCCACGTTGGAAGGTGAGATGGGGATGTGAGCAATGGAATAGGAGCTTATATAATTGGTTTATAAAATGGAGAGGGAATTGGCCCCCAGTTCTGCTGCTCCCAAATGATTAATCTCCATTTTGATAAGGCAACAATTTCCTGCAAAGCAAAGTGCAAAAACTGTGTAAGTTCAAGATTTTTTGAAATGTCTATCGAAGACCAAGTCAGTGTGAGAAATCTAGTTTTACTTAGAAATCAGCCCCTCACGTTCATCCGCCAGGACTGAGGGCACTATATTAATTCTCCAAGGAGCTGTATGGGAAAATCTCCCATAAGGGATTGGACTATACTATGTGAAGAAATATAGGTAGTCTTTCTAGTCCTAAAAGGTTCTGCAGAAAATATCACTCAACCCCCTTGGCCAGAAATAAAATTATTCTAAAGCATTACACGGACAATGGGCAAGTCAGTAGAAGAAAATGGAACTTGTCGGGGTGCCTGGGTGGCTCAGTCAGTGAAGCATCTGACTTTGGCTCAGGTCATGATCTCAAGGTTCATGGGTTTAGGTCCCACATGGGGCTCTGTGCTGACAGCTCAGAGCCTGGAGCCTGCTTCGGATTCTTTGTCTCCCTCTCTCTCTGCCCCTCCCCCGTTCACACTCTGTCTCTCTTTCAAAAATAAATAAACATTTTTAAAAATTTTAAGAAATAAATAAACATTAAAAACAAAGAAAATGGAACTTGTGCTCTGACATTCCATGCTTAAGATTTCTTGTCTTGTATAAAATAGTACATCCTGAAGGTAATTAAGATGGTTAACGAGTGAGTCTTAGAGTCATCGAGTGACCCTATGGTTTTATTCTTAGAACTACAAGTCACTGGAATTAGATCTAAATATGTTCTGCTTTCTTGTTAATCTGAAAGTTTGGAGGGTTGTCGACTATTAACACAAATAGTTGCACCCCAGCGGACTCCACATCTAACTCATGGTACCCTCAACGGGTAAGATTAATAAGGTCAAGGAAAAGGTTAAATTACTTTCTTTACTGAGCTTTAGAAAAAGAAGTAAGTATTTAGGACTAAACAATAGTATAATTCAAATCCGGTAACAATTTTCCTAAAACCCGGAGTGATTATCGGCATGTATCTGTCAGATCCCAGAACCAGGGCACACAATACGAGGCCCAGTGAGGTGGATACGAAATATGCTAAAACTTAAAGGAGGTCTGCAGCCCCCAAACCTTAAATGATGCTTATGATCAATTCACAGTTCGCACGTACCCATTCCCTTCCTCTTTGGTCATTGCTTTGCATTAAGGTGGCTCAGTTAGTTTGCATTTTCCCTGGTGATTCACCACTGAAGGCCACCAAGATCATGAACTAACTAAATTGATTTCAAGCCCTGACAAGCATCCAAATCCAATGAAGCCTCAACGATCTATAATCTGATTTTGCTAGAGAAACTGCACATACACAAAAAGAGAACATTAAAATTCATAACAAATTTGTCTTGTTTTCAGTTTTGTTTCTCTTCCTTGACCTTCGCAAGTCCCAGCTCAGGTTTGATTAATTTCTGTGTGTGTATTTAAGGAAGACATACATTTTCAGAAGCAAACTAAAGGAGTTATCCCTTCTTTTTCAAAAAATAAGAGAAGGGGATAATCAACCTTTCTTTTTTTCTTTCTTTCTTTTTTTTTTTTTTTTTTTGGTAAAAGTACAACACATCCTCAAATAAGCAAGATAGAAAATGTATCTTAATTAAAATTTCTCAGAAAAAGACCATCACCAACCCTAGGAAGAAAATGAGAAGTTGCGTGGTTTTACAATTTTCTGATTTTCTCTCTTGTTTGCACTTCAAACACAGGCATTTTTATCTGACTCATTCCTGCAGCAAAACCCAGATTTATAATGTGTTTCAATAAGCTATTGAAATTTTCAATCATGAGGGTTTTCTTTCTCTAGTGTCCTTTTTCCCTGCTACCAAGCTCACTCGATGCAGAGATGCACTTTGACACTGGCTTAGAGCAACAAATATTGATCTGTTTCCTCACAAGTCTATTAAAAAAAAAAAAAACCTGTTAGAATCATAGCCTACTAGAATTGAATAACAGTCATCAAAATGCTTTTTTTTTTCTTTTTTGGCTAGCTAACTATATTTTGGAGGAAGAAAATCCTAATTTTTAGATTTTCCTATATTCTCTAAACTGCATTTGAAAAACGTTTTCTTAAATGAATTTTCTGCCCCAGAAAAGTACCTAAATAATAAGCTTCAATCCAATAGGGTAGTTTAAAATGGATGTGCTTGACATTATACTGAAATTAAATACATTCCCAATCATTAGTAAAACGCCGAAGAAAAAAGTCTGGATCAGTGAATTAATATCATTTACTAATGCACCAGTACTTTATGACATGACCACAGAATATGTAAGACACCATTCTGCTACTGGTCTCTTTTCAGATTAACAAGTTCAGTTGGTGTTAGTTGTAAACTATATGTTGGTTTTATGCATTCTAGGCACTGGACTACATGCAAATGTTCAGTTTACTCACCCCATCAGAAACTTGAGATAGTAATTACTGGGCTATGACCTCTGAGACAGAAGCGATGCCCAAGGGGATAAATTTTCACACCTGAATTTTGGTTGTCTGGCTACCCAAACCCCTAGAATACTTAGAAATGGAGGGAAGTAAGATATTCCATGTCATAAAGCTGGGTCACCTCCTCTGAGAGGTCCTCAGCTAGCACACTCACTACTTAGATTTTCCCAGACACTCTGTATTTCCTTCATGGCACTTACTACGACCTGTATTTGTCCATTTGTCATCTGCTTTCTTCACCACCAGACTAGAAGCTCCATGACATCAGGGACCATAACCATCTTATTTACAAGGCAGTATAATTCTATTGCCAAACAGGTACCTACAACGTAGTAGACACTCAAGAAACAGGTGTGGAGTGAATGCCCAAATGACTGAGTGATTCTGCTTTGGGCTAAGCCTGCATTGGTTCCACAGTTTTGGATTGTAAACATGATATTTAGAAAAATATATTCCAGCCCTGTAATTGTCAAGTAAAATCCTAGAACTGGAGCAAATATTTTCAAATTAATCCACAAATATTTCTTGAGTATCTACCATTTGTACTGTTTTGTGGATGACATAAACATGATCCCAACATTCAAAACCCAGGGTTTGGTTAAGGGGCTTTTTTTCCTTAAATAATTCCAAAATCAACCCATGATGAGGTAGAAAAGCTCTCTTGGTTCCCTTTTTAGGGTTACCCACTTCTACAATGCTTCGGCAAACGCTGTTTCCTCCTCCAACTTGACCTTAGTCACATAAGCTATCAAGGGACATTATGGAATTCAAACTCAAGGGTTTTTTTCAGACTTTTGAAGGGTACTGTAGTGTCTCTACCATGTTACATGATATGCACAGTAAGGTGTGGGGGCGCTCAGAATAAGCAAACATTGACGTGTCTGCAACAAAAACTTGTTAATATTTGGAATAAATAAAGACAATTGACTCGCTTCAATTCAGGCCTTGCGGCCAAATGAGTTGAGGGAAAAACTGGTCTTCAAAACTCTTTGGATGTCAGAATTGAGAATAAGGAGTTGGGGAGCCGAAAGGACTTTACCCAAAGACCCAGGACAATAACAAGGGCAGCATCTAAGAGGCTGAATGCAAGGGGCATCTGGAAAGATGCATTTAGGGTAGTGCTATGAAGACAGTGCTATAGGTTCTGCTTATAGACTTAAGTATAGCCAGGAGAAAAAAGCTCTGGCCGAGACTGTTATGGGTGAATGATTACAGAGAATACCATGATGGCATTAGGAGGTGTTACCGTTTCCATGTGAATAATACTGCAGGAGGCAGAGAAACCCACTTTTTGGAGCCCTCCTGTGTGTTCATTAATTCATTCAACTATTAGCTTTCTAGAGCTTACCATGCGGCAGACTCCATTCTAAGAAATGGGGAAATAGGTGCACAAGACACAGACCCCTCCTGGAATAAAGGGCTACTCTTTTTTGAGTGCTCACAATATACTCACACCCAACATACCTCATCTCATTAATTAGGATTACAAAGGCATGGATTTGAGGCCCTGCTCTGCCATTCCCTAATTAAGGCTCAACCACTCTCTCTGAGCTTCAGTTCCCTCATCTGCAGCATAAAGAATAACCACGACATTGAAACAACTGTTGAGAAGAAGAAATGAGACGCTCCAGAAAGAATTTTGAACATGAAGAGTGAAGGCTGAGAGTCAACTTCCTGTAGACAGGGTCTATCCTTGGCAGCCATTTCTTCATTCATTCAACAACCACTTCAGAATGATCACTGTGTACAAGGCAGGCCCTAAGCCAGGCCCGGAGTCACACGGATGAATGAGACCACTGACTGCCCTTGGAGAGCACGCAGTTTACTTGGAGGGGAAGGCTGGACGGCACAGAAGCTTCTAGAAGGAGGGAGTGACATGATGGCGTCACACAGCCCTCACGCAAAGCGTGGTGGCCTCAGCCCCCTCTCACCCGCACCCACAACGACGGCACCGGCCTGGGACAAGAGGCGGGGAGCAGCTCCTCCATGCCCCCGCCTGAATCCCCAAACAAGAATCTACTACCTGAAGGGAAGATCCAGCCACCGGCGTCGGGGCCTTTTCCCGTTCAAACTTAAACCTCTCGTTCCTAGGCTGATCGCCTCTTGCAGCCGGGCCCCTGTGCTCCTGTCCTCCACTTCCGCTTCCTCACTTCCGGTCCCTCACTTCCGGCTCCTCGGAGGTCTGATGCCCGCTGCTTCCTGGGCATCAAGCAAGAGGGGTGGGAGAGGTTAAAATTACCCAGCGTGGGGCTATCAAGTGGGATGAAGGCAAGTGTCTTCATTTAACAGTCTAGGAGGCTGTGATGCTCTCCTATTCCTCTTTTCAAAGAGAAATTTTTACAATTTTTGTTACTCAGGTATTTTAACTGACTGGATCCGGCAGCCGCAGCTGATCTCCACCTCAAAGGACAAAGAGTGTAATGGTAGTTTGCTAGGGATGAAAAGAACCCAATGAGGGCTTCGGGTACCACTGATGGGCAGTCGCTGAAATATTCAACTGATCTTCGGGG